TTTTGCCAGTTTAGATTCTGAACCTAAATGTGAGTTTGTGAAAAACTTACAGCAGTAAGTTGTGTTAAGTTTTTTCATTAATTTTGTCAAACCTCCAAAAATTGAATAAACTGGAGTTTTTAGGACAGCACTTAAAACTGAAAGAAGAAAACGACAGGAGTGGGAACTATTTCCCAGAATGCTTAGCGGCATGTTTTTGTATCTGAGATGGAAGTGTGTTACATTGATCTGACTCTGGTGTTTTACTAAGGCAAATGTTTATTTTAATGTCCTGTTCACACTAAATGTTTCTGCAAAGAATATAAAAATTTATTTTTAGATCAGAAATTTTGTTCATACAATTTGAAACAAGAATTTAAATTAAAGTAAAATAAGTATTTATTTTAACTTGATATTGTGAGTAAAATAAGAGAAATGTGGCTCTTTAAAACTCACAGTTCAAGGTTAATGAACTTAAAGTTTAGATAACTTGTCTCTTGTTAAATCAACGTCATGAACTTTAATTTCTGAGTTAAAACCAAAACAATCTTCTTGTTGACTTAAATTGCATTTTTAAGGGAGCAGGTGGAATTTCATTTTCAAGTTAAACCAACTTCAAATGTTTTACAGTGCTGCTGGAGGGGTTTTTGCTTTGACATTTTTACTTCTAGACAGTTATGATGCATAACCGTGGTAACATGGTTTTGTTTTCACAACTGCAAGCAGCTGATTAGCATCTCAAAAGCTCAAAGAAAGCGATTTAAATCAGAGCTGCAAAAGCAAACATGATGGATTAAAAGTGTTTTTCAACAACTGTGTTTTGAACGACACGTTACTTTGGAATATCGTCTCTGCGGCCTGAATATTGAGCCGTTAGCATGTTAAAGTCTTCAGTCAGAGGCCTCTTCAGAGTCCTTGTCAGACTGACTGTTACCAGAGATCTTCTGCCCACAGCATCACCATGAACAACAACTCTTTCATGATACTTCAATGATAAGATGGTTCTTTACTAATCCTGTGTGAAATTCAGGTATCTTGGCTGTGGCATCCATAAAAGTTACATATACACACGGTCCAGTGGTCAAAATTCACATCATTTACTTTTATTAGAATCAACGTTTTTTGTATTGGAGACCTTTTGATTTTAGATTTTCAAAAAATGTTTATCAAATGTGTAAAAAAAGAATCTATAGAAATCCAAAAATGCCACACCAAAGCTGATGGTTAGAGCTGAGACAAGGAGGCCGTTTGTGATAATAATCCAAAACTGCAATACCCATATTTACAGCAGCATGCTGAAAACGTCATGCTAGCTTCACCTTAATTTTACCAAAACATTTTGTTATACTTACTCCATTTCCAGTATTGTTAATTTTAAGTTCAAATTAAAGCGGAACTAAAGTTAGTTCACAGTTTCTCCCAGAGCGTCACAGGGAGAAGCACGGGAGATCCAAACAGAGCCTGACAGCGTTAGCTTTGCATCCGAGACTGTCAGGAGACTCCATCTGTTCTGTTAGGCAGAGCATTTCACCGTTTGCAGTAAAAATGTCTTCAGTTCAGCCTCAGAGAGCGCCAAGTACGGAGCATGAAACTCCCGCTGAAGAAACATTTCCTGAGTTTAAAGAAATCATCGTCAAGTCCGAAGAGGAGGTCGATGGTAAGCTCAGACTGCTGGACTTCACACCGATAGATGTGGAAAAAACACAGCGGCGCTAATTTTTTTCGGCTTTTATGAGAATTTGAGCTAATATGGTGGGTTTAGTTTAAAGTCGACACTTCCACAGCTTCATTTAATCAGGTAAATGCGACTTCGGGCCCATTCGCCGCGGTCAAGCCAGCCCCCATTCCCAGAATATACAGCGAAGCCCTCAAACGAGCCAGACGCCACATTGGCTTCGTTGTCCAGTGGACACAATACGTCATCGCGTCCGCCATATTGAGAGTGGCAAAGGTGCCGTTATACTCGATGCAAGCATCCTTGGAAAATATTTTTCTTGTTATTGTTTTCAAAGAAACGCTAATGTTTACGTTCATATAATTTTGTTCAACCATTTCAAACACAAAAATATATTAATTCTTCCTCTAGTAATAATGATTTAGACAAAGTTAACACTCTTCAGTTTAAGATACAATTTTTGGGTTAGAATTCAGTTAACGGATAAATGGACATCTCGTGGATACACCAAAAATTAATAATAGAGAACATTAAAATAAATTAAAATATACAAATTAAGATGCAATATAAAATTATGAAAAAATAGATGGAGTGTAATAAGATAATGGAAAGTGTTTACTTTTGTGTATTTGTGCAAAGTAAGTCTTTTTGCAAATAGACTAGTTATGTCTTGATTATAATCATGGAACTTAATTTATTACACCTATTCTGTCTCAAATATTGAGGATTTGAATCTTTATAAGCTTTTTATGGTTTCAAGAAAGGGTTAACTCACTAAGCTTGGTTTCAGTGACATCTAGTGGAGAAATAGGAGACTGTTTAGTTGAGTATAATTGGCCCAATGGGTTTTTTTTTTTTTTTTTTTTTTTTTTTTTAAATGAAAGCCGTTATTATGGTGACCTGCTACCCTAAACATGCTAATTTTTTTTGCACAAAATTATTCTTGGACAAAGAGATTTTAGTCTGCTCAGTTCTGCCCATTTTGAGCTTCTTTCAGAATGAGCTGTTTTAGGGGGTCGTGTAACTTTAAATTCAAATAAGCTGCTGCTGACCATGCACCCAAACTCAACATTTACACTTGCATGTGAAAATGTTTGCAAACAGATGCACAATTATACAACCCGTACATCTTAGACAAGCAGAAGTAGAGCCTCCTGCACAACCAACAAGAATGCAGCAAATGCTTTCTGAATGGTAAATCAACAACAAACACTTGTCTTTTCTAGCAGCCATTGTACAGCACATACAGTGGTAAAACCAGCTGACTAAATGTCCTGGAGCTCAACTTGGGTTGCTAGGTGACATGCCAGGCTCACCTGGGGTTGCTAGGTAACAAGGCCTATCTAACTTGACTTAACAATTGGGACACCAGACATCAAACGATATTAACTTGTGTTGTTCTAAGTGCTTAAGGTGTTATTAGAAGGAGTTGAGAACCAAATGGAATAACAGAAATGTGAAAAATGGGAATTTAGCTCAACAGGTTCCCTTTAAAGTGAAGGCGGCTTTCTTTTACTCATTTCTAATCTTCTTTCTTTTCATCCAGATCTGCCTCAGTATTATGACAGTAAAGATGACCAGCAGCCCTCTCACCAGGAGAAGAAAACCAGTTTGGACGAGGAGGAACCAGAACCTCTTCTGATGAAACGGGACCAAGAGGAAGAAGAGGAGCAGGTGGAGCTGGTGCATCTGGAGATAAAAGAGGAAGAGGAGGAACTCTACATCAGTCAGGATCAAGAGAGCGTTGTGTTCAAGCAGGAGATTGATACTTCAATGATGACTCTTTGCAATAAGGAAAAATCTGCTTCTAAACGTAACCAGGAAGTTCCTGAATCTAAGAAACAGGATCCTGAAGACCCTGGATCCAGAAAAGACGAAGAATCAAATCAAAACAGCTTCCTGAAAACTCACACATTCAAGAATCTGTACTCCTGTAAAATCTGTGGCAAAATTTTCCCTCAAAACAGTCACTTAACGAGACACATGAGAATTCACACAGGCGAGAAGCCGTTTTCATGCGTCACCTGTGGAAAATGCTTCAGTCAGAAAGGTAACTTGGCGTATCACATGAAGGGTCACACCGGCGAGAAGCCCTTCTCGTGCATCACCTGTGGAAAAAGCTTCAGTTTCAAAAGTATTTTACTCATTCATTCAAGAATTCACACAGCTGAGAAGCCCTTCTCATGTCTGACCTGCGGAAAAAGCTTCACCCAGAAAAGCAGTTTGACGTACCACATGCGAGTTCACACGGGTGAGAAGCCGTTCTCCTGCATGTTTTGCGGAAAAACCTTCAGGCAAAGATCGAAATTAACTCGTCACACCAGAATCCACACTGGCGAGAAGGCCTAAGACTGAAGCAGCGAGGTGCTTTTGAAACTCAGCTGTTCAGAATCTGGAGTGATTAATGAGTAATCACAGTTAACTACATTTTTCTGATGAAAAAAAAATTAATAGCACTAAAATATTAATTACACTTACATGTAATGTCTTTCTGCCAAATTTAACCTCCCAGTTTAAAGGGAGGTTCAGTCGGCGAACCAAACAATGCTGATGTTTGATCTTTTTGTCTTCCTCTGCATGGATCTTCATCGACTTCAAAGCAAGTCTGACTTGTGATGTTTTTCCAGTGTACTTTTTTCATATGCAGACTGTTTTTGTTTAAGAATGTTTAGTTTAGAGAATGTGTTGATAAAATGATTTAAATGTCTGATTTAAAAGTGACTTGGAATAAAAAAAAGTCTGTAGGTTTTTACAGAACAAAATGGACTGATTGTGAGTTTTTTCTCACAACAAACATAAAATCCTGGTTGCTAATAGGGACCATTGAAGTTTAAATACATGAAAGCATAACTGACATTTTAATGTGAATGTTTTCCTTCGTGTTCAGTGTTATGAATAGAAAAGGAATAAAAACCTGGTTGATGCCGCATCATTGTTGTCTCTGGAGTTTTTTTACAGCAAGTGTCGCGGCGTTTTATGTTCCAAAGCCAAAGATTCCAGCAAAGGCTGTGGGTGGTTTGATTTGCACACACTTCCAACTTGATTGTTTTATAGAAATATATGATTTCTTGTAAAAATAAAGACAAAATAATTACTAAAAATGTCTTACAACTTAGTTGAAAACAAAAATAATCTTAATTTGATGTTTCAAGCTGAAAAAAGTGGTCAAAAAAATAATTTACAAAACCTGCTGTCAGAAACACACCAGACATTTGCCAAAAAATCCGCCTCCACCAAGCACCCGGTGTTTTTAATTACTCAAATTAATGGGAGGGTCTGACAATCACCAACGTAATCTAAACAATTACAAACATACAAATTAAATACAGATTTTGGTTCTAAACTAACTTAAATATATTCCAACTGCCCAAAGAAGAAAACTAAATTGGCAAAAATGAAAATCCGTGTTTAAAGTTTTAAATGACAATCCAATTTATGATTTATTGACACATAAAAGAATCAGCTAATTTATTTCTGCAGGTTGTCAAAAAACTGGTTGTGGTTAAACTTTTAAGCAGTTGTATTAGATCGAAATATGACAATAGAAAAATTCCTGTTGCAATTAAGCAACAAATTTCAAATTTTCTCCGCAGGGACATACGAATACTTTCCTTCTATAAATTACATGAACAGCTCCAAATATGCAGTCCAGGATCTGTCTCAATACTTCTGTCAATTGATTAAATATTAGTGCACAATAGACTCATAAATAAAACGTCGCAAAAAAGTATAAACTTGTAAAACACAAGCAACAAATTAATGTTACGACCAGGCGTGGGAAACGCTGCACTAGACTGCTGCCGAAAACACTGAAGTGAAAGAGCGGCACACTTTCATTCATTTTGTGGATTTCAGCCGTTATTCTGACAATATTTATTTTTTATACTTTTAAATAGGAATGATTGTCCTATATTTTGCTGCAAAGTTATGTTAAATTAGTTTTGTCTTTTTTCAAGTGTACTAAGATATTTGGACAAGAAACTAAACAAAAATACTTGGTAAGATTTCATGTTTCTACACTGTAACATCATTTTTGTCCAAATCTGTTTTAGATTTGGTTGAATCACAATTAAAAAAATAATGTTTTTTTAAGGGTTAATTTTTAGCACATTTTTATTTATTACTTTAATTAGTTTTAGATATTTTTTTTCAGTGACCTTTGTGGGCTTTTCGTTCATTAACTGGAGTACCAAGTGTGTTTGTGTCAGTACTATGAGCAGAAGATGCACCAAAATAAAATCAAAGATGCTTAAAAATAAATGTTGCTAAAACATTAATGGATTATTGAGAGATTAGTGACAATCATTAGTTGCAGCCAAACTTTTATAACTGAACTGTAAATAAAGCCTCTCTAGAGCCATGTAATAATTACAGTGAAAAATAATTTATTTTACACATATTTAAAAGATTTTCCTTTTTTCATTATCAGAGCTTCCCAAACTTTGTGTATCTACAACAGATGAGTTTTTCACTGACCAACATTTCTATGACCAGGAGAGGAGCAGTAGTGCAGTCCTGGAGGAACCGGAACCGAAACATCTGCAGATGAAACAAGCAGAACTTCAACATCAACAGATAAAAGACCAAAAATAACCAGAACACCTACAGATAAAACAAGAAGAGCAGGAACTCTGCATCAGTCAGGAAGAAAAGACGCTGGTGCAAAAGCAGGAGACAAATACCTTCACATTGATTCCAGCTAATCAGGAAGAATGCCACGCCGAACCAGAACCAACTGGAACCCAAATTATCTTCCAGGTTGCTTCTGAAGCTGAGAACCAGGAGCAGATCTGTGTGACAACAGGCGATGAAGATCCAAAGCAAAAAAACAGTAGATGTAGGAAAACCAGTTTTCAACTGAAAAAGAGCAAGAAAACTCTGACAGATAAAAAGCTGTAATCCTGTTGAATTTGTGGTAGTTTGTTTTCTCAAAATAGTCACTTGACGAGACACATGAGAACCACACAGGAGAAACGAAGGAATGTGAACCACAGTTCAACCAGTCAAAACAAGAAAGCCTAATAAAGTAACTTGAAATGTTTAGTGGATCCCATGTATTTAACAAATAATTAAATTCTATAAATAATTGAGGCCCCCTCTAAAATCTAAAGAGCCTATTTTAACAGCTCAAACAGCAAATATGGGAAGTGTCTCAGCAGTAGCACAGAAGCTAATATGTACACTTTTCCTCATCGAGGTCTTACAACCAATCTGAGTCAAGCAGCTGTACGTTCGGTTAGGCCAGCTTCCCAAGCTGCAGTTTCATTTGTGTACTTTAGATCTACAAAATATTTGATTCTTCAAAAGAAGACTCAATGAATCTGTGGATACTGAACCGAGAATAGAAAGGGGTCCAGTGTAATACTCTTCTACCAACTCTTTAAAGTGATTTCTTCAAGTTAGAAGTGTCTCAATAGAGTCCTAATCATTTTCAGATTGATACTTTAAAAAGACAACAGATTATAATGAACTCCGTTTAAATTGAATCGTTTAACCTTTTGATTTACAAATGTCACTAACCACATTTAGTTACATTTGTTTTCAATTGTTATTTGAATCTGTCAATGTCTGTAAATTAAACTTGCTACCTGAGGAGTACTTTTAAAAATAACGAACATGCTGCTTTTAGCCGATGATTTGTGATGTACATAGTAAATACAAGTACTTTTTAAAGGTAACTAATTTACACCAACTTTTATAACCTTTTTATGATGTATTTTAGTTGCATTAAATGAAATTAGTGCACTAATCAACTCTATATACTCTATATATAGTCTACACACAGACACACTTAGTATATATATATAAACATTTTACAATTAAAATGAAAAAAGACCATCATCATCATTGTAAACTGACTTTATTACATGACACTTAAAAATAGTTTCACTGAGTCACTTTCATACCAGAAATCTATATCAAAATATTTTCAAACATCCTAAAAACCTCCTCAAACTGTAACTGATGAAAAAGACATCAGTAGAATAACAACAATTTTGTTTAGTTTTATCAAGTGTCAAAATATTTCAACAAAAAACTGAAAATATCTCCATCATAGTCATCCTTCCAAAATCAGAAATCTCTTATAAAATGTAAAACTGGCAGAATTTTTTAAAAGTATTTTAATTAAAACTTTTTTTAACAGCTTTTAATGCTGTAACAACAGCATTAAAAGGTAAGTTACAGAGGAACCTTACACTTCACGTTCACTTTAAAACATCACAGCTGTGTGATTCCTCATGTGAACAAGTAAATTCTTTTTATTTGTGAAACTCTTTCCACAGGTCCCACAAAGGAAAAGTTTCTCACCTGTATGACTTCTCATGTGAGAAGTTAAACCATCTTTGGTAGACAGACTTTTGCCACAGGTCCCACATGAGAAAGGTTTCTCACCTGTATGAGTCCTCATGTGATAAGTTAAAACAGATTTATGTCTGAAACTTTTTCCACAGGTCTCACATACGAAAGGCTTCTCGGCTGTATGAGTTCTTATGTGAGAAGTTAAACCATCTTTTGTAGAAGACAGTTTTCCACAGATTCCACATGGGAAAGGTTTCTCACCTGTATGAGTTCTCATGTGATGAGCTAAATTGGTTTTATCGATGAGCCTTTTCTCACAGCACGTGCATGTGAAAGGCGTCACACCTGTATGAATCCTCATGTGAGAAGTTAAACTGTCTTTTGTAAAGAAACATTTCCACAAGTCCCACATGAGAAAGGCTTCTCACCTGTGTGAGTTCTCATGTGAGAAGTTAAACTCCTCCTTTCACTAAAGTGCATTCCACAAGTCATACATATGAAAGGCTTTTCACCTGTGTGACCTTTCATGTGAGTAGCTAATTGACCTTTCTGAGTGAAACTATTTCCACAAATAATACATGTATAAGTCTTCTCATAACTTCTCATATGGGAAGTTAAATAAG